AGTCATTTAGCTGTTGGGATTTTGGAGTATAAACTGGAAATTAAAAGGTGAGTTTGCTGTATGTTGGATTATTACTAGCTCAAAAAACTTAGAACCTTTCTCAGCTATAGCCAGATATTTTTAACAAGTAACATTTTTATTTAGCAGAAATAATTCTTCTGAATTTTGCTGAGAAATAATAAACATGATATTTTATTCACTGGGATAAGAAAGAGAGAAGCATCAATGTGGTAAAAATTCTCGTTACTAATGTGACTCTTACATGACGAGGATTTTTGCTTAATATTTATTTGACTGTACCAGGTCTTAGCTGCAACATGCAGGATCTTTAGTTGTGGCATGCAAACTCAGTTGCAGCATGTGCAACCTTGTTCCCTGACCAGGGATTGAATCTGACCTCCCACATTGGGAGCATGGGGTTTTAGCCACTGGACAACCAGTGAAGTCCCAAGGATTTTTATATATAGAAGAAATAGATTGCTTTGCCTTTTCCTATCTAAATCTGTTCTTTGACTTGAGATATACCTAGATTTCCTTGGGTAAATCCTCCTAGCACAGCAACACCAAAATAATCTTCTTGTTTCCTTTCAACTTGTTTGGAGTCATATTGTTATTATTACTACCCAGAAGGGCTTAGGAGACATTCTTTGGATTAAATCAAGTGTTCTCCTCTGTCCCTGCTTGTGATTCCTTGATGGTCAGTATGACCCTTAGACAAGCTTGTTTTCCACTCAGACTTGTTCCTGCTGTTGAAAAAAAATGTGTCTGGTAAACATGCCTATGGCTGTTGCTAGTAGAACCTTTCCAAAAACACTTATTTATTTTAAATGTGTTTAATTGTCTGGTTTCTTATCTAAATTGTTCTGTTATCTTTAGTTGTCAGACTTGAATACTTAAATATGATAACCAATAAAACTGATAACTAGTAATTAAACTGAATGTTAGTTTTAAACTTATTTTTATTGGGTTAAAACACAGTAAATTGCCTTATGTAAAGTAAACATTGTCCAGTGTCAGTCATTTTATATTTCGACCTAATATTTTCCCCTCTACCATGAGGGCAACAAATTAATAAAGACTTGGGTTCAGGAGTCAAACACACAAACCTTCAAATTACAGCCCAGTCACTTACTAGCTGTGTGATTGTGGAAAGTTATTTAATCTTTTTCGGCCTCGGTTTCTTAATTTGAAAATCAGACATAGTAATGGGACCACAGATAAATAGACCCAAGGCTAAGCAGCTGGAGTCCATCCCCTATGGACAGATCCTCCAAGTTAGCAGGGGTGGGAGGGGGGCAGAGCCTGCCCAGGTAAGAGAGGCTGCTGTTCGGTTGCTAAGTCGTGTCTGACTCATTGCAGCCCCGTGGGCTGCAGCACGCTGGACTCCTCTGTCCTCCACTGTCTTGCAGAGTGTGTTCCTATTCGTGTCCATTGAGTCAGTGACACAAGATAAAAGACACACATTCCTCAATGCTGAAGTCAAGGAGACACTTGCGCAGAAAGGCTCCAAGGAGGTTAACGGTGAGGGGGCATCGCCATAGGAAGTGATGCTTACTTACTTACTTCCCTAAGGGTAGACTGCTACCCTTAGACCTCCTGGCTAGAATCCTTCTTGGCTAAGACGTGCAAGGGAGGATCCTGAAGTAAAGCAAATACGGGATCGGAACCAGGCCAAGCAGGATGATTGGCCAAAGGAAAATAGGAAGAAGTGCCCCATAAAAGCGATTCAAACCACCACAAAGGCACAGCTCTCTGAGTCTGCCTGTGTATCTACCCACATGTGCCCTTTTTCCTGATAAGTACTTTGCCTGTTTCACTCCTTCCCAGCTTTACCAGGAACTTCATCACCACACAGCTGACAGGCCAGGGCCCTGCCACTGGCCACTGCCTCTGGTGGTCTAGCGGCTTGGATTCAGAGCTCTCTCTGCCGCAGCCTGACTTCAATCTCTGGCCTGGAACCAAAACCTGCTTCAAGTAACTGCAGGCCAAGGCCACCCAAGATCAGTAATAATATGCACTGCATTCAGTTCTTGTCTATATTAAAGGAATTAATATACACGGTGTTGGGACTTCCCTGCTGGTCCAGTGGTTAAGATCCACCCTCCCACTGTGGTGGGGAGCAGGTTTGGTTCCTGCTCGGGGATCCCCGCACATGGTGTGGTGCGGCCAAGAAAATAAAGAAATAAAACAGAAAATAAACACCACGTTGTTATAGACTGAGTGCTCAAAAATATTAAAGCTATTATTCACATTGGATTTAATTAATACTTCGATTGTCTTCCCCACTCTATCCTTTGTCCTCTTGAATTTCCCGATCAGTGCCCCTGGTATGTATGAACTGCCGTCACATTCATTGAATTTTCACATATTGTCTCATTTGATACTATGAACATTTTGAGATGTAGGGGATAGGAATGATTATCCCCCTTTTTCCAAACAAGGAAACAAAATTTCCTTATGCTTTCAAGGTGCATACAGGAACTAAAAGGCAAAGCCTTGTGAGGATTCACTAATCTGTTTTCACCAAGCTGCCTTTTGTAAGGTCACTTTCAAATGAATATTCCTGGGCAGCAAATATTCTAACACTAGCGGCATTAGATTGATATGATTATTCTGAAGAAATCTTCTCATTTATTGTAAACTTCTATAATAGCCAGCATTTATTTTGCTATTAACACCTACCCCATGTTGCTGTTGTTGTTGCCGTTTAGTGGTGTCCAACTCTTTTGTGACCCCATGGACTGTAGCCCACCAGGCTCCTCTGTCCACAGGACTTCCCAGGCAAGAATACTGGAGAGAGCAGCCATTCCCTTCTCCAGGGGGTCTTCCCCACCCAGGGATCCAACCTGGGTCTCCTGCATCTCCCGCACTGGCAGGTGGGTTCTTTACCACTAGGCCACCTGGGAAGCCCTCCAATAAAGCCTCATAATAGAACAGAGGGGGTAGAGATCTCTTATTGAGTCTGTCTCAGAAGCCCCCTTGTTTCTCCAGTGAGAACGTCCTGAGGCAATGCGACCTTTGGTGAAGTAAAACTTGGGAGGGAAGCAAGGCTACCAGTAATGATTACTGGCGCTATGAGAAAGGAGAAGTGAAGACCACTTTTCATCTTAACAGTCCAGAATGCGATGATGGTCAGGATGTGGGGAGAAGAAAGAGGAAGCTCTGGGGAACTCCCACCATCCCACAGAGAAGGAATTGCCCTGCATCCCCTCAGAATGATGGCAGAAACCTGTGAAATGTGTCCATGTACCGTAGAGGGGGTCCATGCTAATTTGTTTAAAATTAGTAGGCCTGGTATGGTCATTCAAATGCTTTGCTTTTTACCCCTTTAAAATTGTAGACAGAAAATGATATTTTTAGTCTTTCTTCTAAAAGTAAAAAAGAGTTGAATTTCTGAAATATAGTTGCATTAGTTTTCAATCTTTGATTCAATCTGTGGTGTCCATCAAAAGTATCATCACTCTATCTTGGAGGCAATTAAGAATCAGAGTAGGTGTGTTTAGAATTAAAATATATATGTTTAAACTCAGATCCCACTCCTTACTGACTCTGTGACCTTGAGAAAGTTAACTAACCTCTTTAAGCCTCAGTGTTTTTTTCATCTGTAGAGTGAAAATATTTTAGAAATATTAAAAAACCTCAGAGGATCTTTATAAGTATTCAATACAAAATGGTGCTTAGTGCAATGCCTGGCACATCACAAGAATTCAACAAATTATAGAGACAGGATTTCATATAAACATACATACATTTCATATATGAGTACATTTGTATTTCAATGTATGCATATACTGTTAAATATATAACGTGTGTTTGTGTTAGACACTCAGTTGTGCTCAACTCTTTGCAACCCCATGCACTGTAGTCCACCAGGCTCCTCTGTCCATGGAATTTTCTGGGCAAGAATACTGGAGTGGATAGCCGTTCCCTTCTTCAGGAGATCTTCCTGACCCAAGGGTCAAATTTGGGTCTCCTACATTGCAGGCAGATTCTTTACCATCCAAGCCACCAGGGAAGCCATACTTATGTGTATGTATTTATTTATAAATTTTATTTTTTAGGTTTCTGAGTTTGGGGCTCTTCTATATCAGAAAAGGTGAAATACTTGGATAGGAGGGCTGGATGCAATAGTTTCTTTGGGGGCTTTCGCCTGTCACTGCCAAATCAACATTAAACTTTTAAGGCATTCAAATTAAATGACTACAGCCTGCACAATTTAGGATCTTTCTCAACATCATCACGAGGCTTCGAATAAAGCAGACTTGAGTGTTTGAGTATATGTCTAATATAACCCTCAGAGAAAGCCAGGTGTGTTTCCTGTTTGAAATGGTGGGCATATGTTTCCAGGTGCTATGCAGAGCATTGTTTGGGATGTGTAAATTGCCTTCTATTGAGGCTATCTTACTTAGCTGCTGCCTTTCTCCCTAATCCCTGGCCACCTGATGCATTCTTTTTTAAGTGTCTCTTGGTTTTAACCACTGAAAATAAAATGAAAATGCCTAAAGCTCTAGTATCCCTTTTGATTGTACTCTGACAGCAATATCCAGATTTGCCTTCAAATTTCAGTTTTATATTTCCCTCAAACTTGTTGGTAACAGTTGCTTAGTTATTATATGCCCAATACAGAATTCACCAAAATTGTGAATTTGAATACTGGAGAAAAAGCAGAAGCAGTTGTAAACTGAACATAGAGTGCTTACATTTTCTTACTATTTAAATAAGCAAATAAACATGGAAATAATGAGTGCCTCTCTGTTGTTTTGCTAGCAAAAGGAATAATTTCAACAGTAAACTTTTAAAAATCTACTTGTGAAATGTGTTTTCCATGAAATGAATGATTAGTTTATGTCTCAACTTCTCAGGAAGTTCCTTACATGAACTGCTGACTTGGAGGTTTGATGGAATACATTTTCCCTGAACTTTTGAATTATTAATCTTGGCCACGTGATATGCAAATGAGGCTGCACTAACTCTGGTCATCAGCACAGCACTGGATCAGAAGCTGCATCAGGTTGCTGGCAAAAAATTTCTGTCAAGGGATCAGGCCTTCTGGCAAAATGGTAAGCTCTAATGCAATTCGTGTTGTCCAGGTATATAAAGTAACTCTAGACCTCCTATTAGCTAGGGGTTTCTTTTAACAGTGGTCTGTGAGCAATTAAGATTGTAAGCAATGTTTAAATGAGCTGTCTGAATTGTCATTTGTAAGTACACGAAGAACAGCAAAAGAAGCCAAAAGAAAGTCATAGCTGTTTCCTCTACATGTTTTTTTGTCAAATTATATGTCTTGTTTTAATTGCCAAATATAAATCTAGTCTATTAAAGTTGCTAATTCTTGGTAACATATTTCAACAAAAAGAATAATTGGACTTATTTAGATAAATATACATACTTACAGAAAATAACTAAAGTTTCTAAATCAGATGAAACAATCTATAATGTATAATAATTGCATGCTCAGAAAATAATGTGTTAGAATAAATTTTAAAGCATTCTAAAAATGAGATTTAGCATTTGTTTGTAAAAATTATATTCTTTAAGGATATTTATAGTACACCAAGGAAAAGTAGAAAATTGCAGAAACTGTTGCTATTATAACTTCCAGAACTTTCAATATTTGCTGAAGTATTTTTAAAGAGCTTCATAAACACACAATTTGAAACCATTCTATCAGCCTTTAATCCTTTGATTTCTGGTATAATTTCTGGAATACACAAAAATATATAAAAGATATCATCATTCATATTGAATGATGATATCTTTGCAGTGTAAATATTTTCATTCAAATTATCAGTGAAAAAGCAACTTGTTTATGAATACTTATATTGCTATATAGTCTTGAAGTAGTTAAGAATTAAAATTTCATAAATGTTCTTACTGTGATGATTATAAGAAAAACACTTTGAAAGGTAATAGACTATCAGTTTTAAATTTGTGTCAAAAATGTACATTTTTAAAAAGCTGAATACAATTAAAGGAATACTTTGTTCCCAAATTAAAAATGAGAACTCATAGTCCATTTATGTAAATTGAATGTTATTTATAGTTTAATACCTCTAAGAAGTCTAGATATATTTTTTATAAATGTAATTAAAGGTTTAACTTTAATTGCCAACATCTAAGAAAAAAAAAACCCTGTTAAAAGTATTTCATCCAAATCAGCTATAACATATTTATCATGATTTCTATTTCCAAAATTTAAGAATTTAACCACTAAAAAGCAAAGAGAATATTAATTTTTCATGAGGAAATTTCATCTTCAACAAGAATTTTGCTTAAAGGATGAGGTTACTCCAATTTGTAGAACTGTGATGGCCACACTAAAGACACACTCATCCAAATTGAAATCTAGAAATCTGGACCCAGGTGAGGTTACAGTGGTCTGAGAATGTTAGACAACCTTACCCTTACGTCCACGGCAGCCAAACCTTTATGCTACACACAAGCTGCTGACATAAGTCAGGACACTGAAGCACTGACTAGGCAGAAAGAATTATAATTAGAAAAAGAGGAAATTCAAAAATGAAACAACTACGCTTCTTATCATAATGAAACTTCCTATTGGTTTAATATTCACTTGGGTGCATGCACCTGCATTTTGAGTATTCGCCAAATTACAAAGTTGCTTAGAAATGAACCTTGAAAAACTCTAATATTTACAACATGGGCAAAGAAAGATTAGACTGTAAAAGGGTCTACAAAGAGAGGAAAAAGGACAACAAGGAGATTGCCATGTCACAGAAGGCAAGGAAGAGAGAACTTCCAGAATCATGGAATGGGAAGTCACTGAGAGTAGAGTAAAAAGTAATGTTGAAAAATTACCAGTGAGCTGAACAATAAAGCCTGTATTTTGTAAACACCATTGAATTTCTACTGTATTTCTAGATATTTTTAATATCACACATGCTGATTTGGAGGTAAACATAGACAGTCCAAATAAACCAAAAGCAGAAAGGACAGAGTAAAAATTATCTGGAATCTCATCAGTAGGAATATTTTAGTATTTGTCCTGAACTTTCTGAGGTTTAATAACTTCATATGTAAATTTCAATTTTTTTAGCTAATTTAAATTTTTAAAATAGATCCTAGAAGATATATATTAAATTTTACCTTCTACAACTATATGTCTAAATCATAGATATCACTACTACAATCGCCAATTTTGAGTATTAGTCATACTATATATGGGGTATATAGTATACTATATATGGGGTATATATGGGGCTTCCCTGGTGGCTCAGATGGGAAAGACTGTGCCTGCAATGTGGGAAACCTGGGTTTGGTCCCTGGGTCAGGAAGATCCCCTAGAGAAGGGCATGGCAACCCACTCCAGTATTCTTGCCTAGAGAATCCCATGGACAGAGGAGCCTGGAAGGCTACAGTCCATGGGGTGCAAAAGAGTCAGACATGACTTGGCGACTAATGTTTTCACTTTCATACTATATATAGCATCGGCTTTTATGGGGAAATAGAACAAGGAGCTTAATTTGGTGGACTTACCACCTACTAGACCTCAGAGGAAATATTTATAAAAATGCTTTGTAAAAAGTCAAGTGTTTATGTTCCTCTTTCCAGTAAGCAAGTATTTATAGACCAGTAGCAGGTATAGAAGGTAAACTGTATGAAAGATAAAGTTGTGAGAAATGCTAAGAAAAAACTAAATGTACAGTGGGCAGGGAGCTAATTAGACTGGGGAGTCAGAAACTATCTTGGGGAACTGCACTTAAACTGAAGTCTGAAAGAAGCAGAGACATAAGACAGAGGATGTAAATGGGGTAAAGATCATATAAAAGGTCAGTGAAAAATTCAACAACCTGAACATTAGGAAAATTCTCTGTGCATGCAAACAACAGGAAGAAAGATGAGAAAGGAGGAGAATAATACTAGATGAGGTTGAAGTGGAGTCCAGGAGCCAGACCATGCAGGCATTGAAGTCTCACTAAAAATTATGGACTTATTCCTTAGACTGTGAAAATCATTCAAGCCTTTTGGTTGCATAGAGAAATATGATCAGAATTTTGGTTGCAGGTTTTAAATATTGTTTAGCTATCATGTTGAAAGCAGACTAAAAGGGGGCCAGGGAAGATGTGAGAAGACAATAGGAGAATATCATATAGTCCCAGATGCTGGTGGCCTGAATTAGAATGGTGATGAAAGAGATGAAGCAATAGTGATGAATTAGAGAAATATCCAGACATTGAAGTCAACAACACTTGGTTGTTTATTCATTATTGGAGATGAGCTAGAGATGACTTCAAGGACATTGCTCAGATGTCTAAAGTGAACATTTCAGTAAATGGTGTGGCCGTTTGCTGAGTTAGGCGGAGGTACAACAGGATTGAGAAGGAAGTTGGAGAATTTATATAGGACTTTTAGAGACAGGCACCTCTGAGAGATCAGTCTATGGTAATAACTATAAACCACTAGTGCTTATAAGACAGGGCTGGGCTGGGATGCACACCGAGAGGTGGATATATGGATGGTCATTAAAGATAGAAAGTGGACTGGATCATCCAGGCATCTAGATTGTTGTTGTTCAGATGCAAACAACTCTTTGTGGCCCCATGAACTGCAGCACACCAGGCTTTTTTGTCTTTACTATCTCCCAGAGTTTGCTCAAACTCATGTCTATGGTATTGACAATGCCATCGACACCATGGACATGAAAAGAAGGGATATGATAAAGAAAGGAGTTTAGATAAAGAAGGGATTCAGTACTGATCCTTGAGGAAGTCAACATTTAATGCTTAGACCTTGAAGGCTTAGACCACAAGAGAGTCTTCAAAACACAACCAGGGAGGGAAAAAAAGGAAAATTGGGAGATTTTCATGTCACAGAAGGCAAAGGAAGGGATTAGTTCTATGAAAAATGAAAAAACATAGCTGTATGAATTGATGTCAAATAAGATGACTGAAAAAATGAGTGTTAGATGGAGTAATGTGGAGGCCACTTTAGTGGAGTGATGGATCAGAAGCCAAACTAAAGTAGGTTGAAAAAGGAATAGGGTGCCAGGCTGTCAAAATTATTAGTGAAGACAGCTCCAATGTTGATCCATGTATGACAAGGAGAGGAACATGTGAAACCAGCGAGAGTGGTTTACATCTTATATATGCCTTGTCTTTAAGACAGGATGAGAGTATATGAGAGCCATTGGAAAGGATGCAGGTGAGATGGAGAGGCTGAAAAGATGATGAATAACGTGTAGGAATCTTAAGAACTCAGGGATGAGTTCAATCTGAAGTAAGCCAAGAGGAATAGATATTTTCCATTGTTACAGGAAGGAAGGAGGAGAGGAGAGTAAGAGAGGCAGGAACCAGAGAGTGGACGCCCAACGACCAGGTTCTTCTCAGGGATTCACAGGCAAAACCATCTGCTAATGATGAGTGGGACAGAGGTTTGAAAAAATTGGTATGACAGTGAGAAATGCGGTAAATTGCTGGTAATGTGAGAGAACAGTAAACTCACATAACTTCAAATACAGAGTGAAACCAATCTGCTTGCTTCTTCAAATTAGACTGCTCAGTTTTACAGTGAAGGATCCACTGTGTGCGGTGCTGTGTGCTGCCGTGGGCAAATTCTGGCCCTGACATTTGGTGACCTGTGATTAGTAATTTAATTCTTCAACCCAGGTTTTTCTCATATCTAGTGGGATGGAAGTAGAATTGAGTTAAATGGATTTTTCTGAAAATGAGAGATAATATTTGTGATGTTATATGTCAATAAATATGTTCTCTTGTTGCAAAAATTAAAAGAGTGGAGTTGTATTTTATAAGCATAATACAATAAACATAATCCTTTGTCAACATGGAAACAAAACCAAAGCCACTAAAATTGCAAGACTGAAGTTGAAAGAATCCTTTTCCTCTTCTAGTCTGTGGTTCAGTTAAACGTAGCTCAGAGAACTTGTTGAACTACTGCGATTTGCTATGGACCACAGTCAATCCTGAAGACATAATTAATTTGACTTCTCACTTATTTCACTGCAGTTTCCTTTGGTCTCTTTGCTGTTTGTCAAGTCCTCTATGCATGTTTCCACCTCTGGACTTTTGCATGTGCTTTTCCTTATGTCTGACAATCTTTGTCATTACTTGACATGCACTTATATCTTTCTTGATTTTTCCCAAAAGAGGAAAAGTTATTTGAGATGGGGAATGTTATTTTAGTCACAACTGTCATCTGTGTCTAACATAGAGTTCAAAGGATCTCAATAAGTATAGGTAAAAATAATATATTAATTATATGTAGGCATATAATTATGTACTCTACATATGCGCTTCTTACTAATATAACCAACTCTCTGCCGTTCAAATTTTAAGTGTTATTTGATGATGATGGTGATGTTGATCATGATGCTAGAAATGAAGGCAATGATATTTTTGTACAGTTTTGCTTTCAGTCTTACTTTAGTGATTCACCTTATGTTTTCTCTCCTTTCTTTAGGAATGGAATGCAACTTGTGAATACTGGGAGGCCGTGCAGACTGCCCTGGAAAGCTGCTACCTTCCCATTTTGTATGGCATTGAGTTTATTGTGGGACTCCTTGGGAATACTGCTGTTGTTTTTGGCTACCTCTTCTGCCTGAAGAACTGGAACAGCAGTAACATCTACCTCTTCAACCTCTCTATCTGTGACTTGGCTTTTTTGTGTACCCTTCCCATGCTGATGAGAAAGTATGCCCAGAGAAAATGGCCATATGCGTCTGTGCTGTGTATAAGCAACAGATACATACTTCATGCCAACCTCTACACCAGTATTCTTTTCCTCACTTTTATCAGCATCGATCGATATCTGCTCATGAACTATCCTTTCCGGGAACACCTCCTGCAAAAGAAAGCATCTGCTATTTTAATATCTTTGGCCATCTGGGGCTTAGTAACCTTAGAGCTCCTGCCCATACTTCTTTTTATACATTCTGAGGACAATGGCACCAACTGTACTGATTATGCAAGTTCTGGGGACCCCAATCACAGCCTCATTTATAGCATGTGCTTAACCTTTCTGGGCTTTCTCATTCCCCTTTTTGTCATGTGCTTCTTTTCTTTCAAGATTGCTCTCTTTCTAAAGCAGAGGAACAGGCAGCTCACTACAGCTTTGCCCCTTGAGAAGCCTCTGCACTTAGTCATCATGGCTGTGGTGATCTTCTCTGTGCTTTTTACTCCCTACCATGTCATGCGAAATGTCCGGATTGCTTCACGCCTGGAGACCTGGAAGAAGTCCCCATGCACTGAAGCCATCATCAACTCCTTGTACATCTTGACAAGGCCATTGGCCTTTCTGAACAGTGTCATCAACCCTGTCTTCTATTTCCTTCTGGGGGATCACTTCAGGGAGATGTTGGTGAATAAACTGCGGCACCACTTCAAGGCCCTTACATCCTTCAGAAGATGAGCTCGTGGATGGACATTTTCGCTCGGGAATAGTGAGGTGCCCATGTAACAGATCATTTTACAGAAGCAGCTGTAGGCCGGGTAGAGTTTAACTCAGACACAAATCAGAGAGGCCCACAGACTTGACCCTGGTTTAAAGGCATGCTGGACCCAGGGTGTGTGAAAGGAAGATGATGGAAGGCATTTATTGGTTTCTTGACCTAAGCACTTAAAGGAGTTGGACTAACACTGTCTAATGTTTGAGCACATAAGTCCAAAATTCTAGGTCATATAAGACCCCCTCAACCAGTGTAAAAAGAACAAAGATAAAGTCGCAAGTTGTTTGTGTTCAATCACTACTTAGATTGTAAACAACAAAAAAAAATTGTGTTGACACTATTCTGTATGTTATTCATATGTGTGTGTTAGTTGCTCAGCCGTGTCCAACTCTTTGTGACCCCATGGACTAGAGCCCGCCAGGCTTCCCTGTCCATGGGATTCTCCAGCCAAGAATGCTGGAGTGGGTTGCCATTCCCTTCTCCAGGGGATCTTCCCAACCCAGGGATCGAACCCAGGTCTCCCACATTGCAGGCAGATTCTTTACTACTGAGCTACCAGGGAAGCCCATACAAGGTTACTCATACAATCCCGTAACTGGTTCAAATATGCCTATATTTCTTTATATTGATTAAGAAATGGAGTCCAGTTGTAATTATAAGCCCTTTTTTGTTGTTTGTGCAAAAAATCATATTAAATAGAACCTAAAGGGATGATTTCATAAAGAGAGACATGTTTGAGCTCAGCTCTCAAGGGACTTAGGTGTAAGTGGCTTTATAAAAATAATAGAGTCAGATTCCAAGGATAACTGTAAAACTTCCAAAGTCATAGAACACAAAGCACCTACCAGGAAACTCAAAGGAAGACAAAACAAAACAAAGTCAGTTTTTATAATCAGTGTACCATCTGGTATTTTATGATCACAATGTGATTTTCAGTGCATGGAAGTATATTAAGTTCATTAGCCTTCCTGCTCTTGATTAAATAGTAAACTTTGAAATATATTAGTATCATAAAACCAGCATATAAGAGGAAGTGAGATGGTAATGTCAAAACTTATTGAGTTAATTATTTTCCTTTTTTGGAGTGAAAAATCAGTTTTTCTACCCCCCCCCCCTTGCCCCCAATACACACACACTTCTTTTTTTTTTTTTTTTTTAAGCAATGGGATAATTTACAAGGACAATTTTATCTTGAGAGAGTGACTCATATCTGCAATGAGACTTATTTTCATAGAATATTACCTAAGACCATTGGAGGAAATGTTTTAAACAAAACTCGCTATATGAATTTGCAAAATGTGCAGAACATTTATTTACCTATCAATATAGATTATTCCAGGAGGGTTATGTAAACACTATCCTATGCCACAAATCAAATTTGAAGAGGGGGAATGAATGCTGCATTAGCTATTTAGAGTTAAAAAGTATCATATAGTAATTTACATATTACATGCAGTAAAATGTGTGCATGGCCACATGCCTATGCTCTTTTCCTTAAGGTCATTAGCTGTAATGAGAAGGATAAAAATAAGCATTCTAGGAGCAAAGACATAAAATTCCATGACTTCCCTGTTTTAAGGTTCCCTGGGAACATTATATTCTGACATTCCAAAACCCCAAAATGTTTCCATTGATATATTATTAAAAAAACAGTACTCATTTTCCTACCTAACCTTAGGCTTTTAAATTTTTTTTCATGTTTGTCAATAATTTTAAAGTGTCAATGTCATTTTATAACGGCCTGATAAAAGTTGATCTTCTGAACTTTTCATTAGAAAAAGCCACAAGAAAGGGTCTTAGTAAAGAAATATTTGCTTATCTGCAAACATATAATTTAACTGCAATTTGCATTTGATGCATTGATTTTCATTTGTAAACATGAAATTAAATTTGTGCCACACCTATCCCAAGAAGTGGCAGGGGTAAGCTTTTCTAATAGTGCAGTGAAATGTTCTGTGAAACTATGAACTCTTACACATATTTTATAAACAAAATGTTAATTTTATAACATATTTCTTATTTTTTGTTCAAATTTGTCATCTGATAACTTAATCATTAACTGATTAAAGTGATCTGCATGGAAGTTACAAGAACTATTCCGTTCGCATTTTGTACCAGGTGTTTACAATCACAAGCAATAAGTAATGAATGGAATCACAAACAATAAGTAATAAATGGAATCTCAATCAATAATAATGGATATCATTTCTGCATTTGTGTTTTGCAAGGGAAAAAATGTTGGGCTTTGATAACTTCTTTTATTGGCTGTCTAGTATCTTCCCGAACCATGACTAAAGTGTTTGGTCCAGCATTTTGCAGTCTGGACCCACCTATTCCCTGTGCATTCTCTCTCACCACTGTTGTCACGAATTATACCTTTCAACCAAGATAGCTACTTCATTTCATTATATTTAGAACTTTCTCTACTGCGGACACCTGGATGCTCACCCTTGTTTTATCAAGCCCACATTTAAAAAAAATCTAAGCCTCTTTTAAGGTCTATATCATCTGTCTCTCCATCTTAAAGCCTTACTATTAGGACTTCTCCCCAGATCTGAAAATAAATCTGCCTACCTCTGGGGTTTCAGACTACTTTTGACTATTGTTTTCATAAAATGCATTGTTTTTGGCCTTATATAATAGTTGTTCAAATTAAAGTCAATTCTTAGGTCTATTAATGGAAAAACTGTATCTAATTTTTTAAATCTTTTATTGTCTTCACAGAACCAAACAAGGTACATTTTAAATGATTCTTCATTATGAATGAATGTCTTATAGGACAAATGTGAATTCAATGCTCCTTTTGAGTGTGTATGTCAAGCTATTTTCTGTCCTCATGGCTTTGATAATGAACATTACTTTATAGGAAGGAAAGAGTATCTATACACAAATACATTTGCCAGCTGCCATTGCCTTGACCCTTATATTTTCCTCTATACTTTTTCGTATTATTTTAATGGATGCTTAATATTTGTGCCTGTTAGTTCCAAATCTGGGTTATTTTGAAGTTGGTCGCCACCAATAGCTTTTTCTCTTTAAGTTCTTTAAGCATGGGTGACAATTTCCTATTTATTCCCATCTAATAAATTTAGACTGCTATCTCAGCATTATGAATACGTTACGGAGACTCTGGATTCCGTTATGTTCCTAAAAAATACTGATATTTTATTTCATGGCTGAAATTCAAATTCAAATCTCTGAAATCTCAGTTCATTTATTTTAGCCAGTTTAGAAACTCATTTGTTTAGAATCTACCCAGCACAACCAAAATTCAGAGGTTGGCTAGAGATTTGAACAGAGTTTAGGTACAACATATGTAAGAGCTCTCTTTCATAGGATCTTCACCCATTTACTTTCCAGCTGCTGAGTTCATCCTGAACTTGCCTTTTCTTTCTCATGTCAAAAAGACAAACAGGTTTCTTTCTGGATTTCAGCAAACCAGCATCGCCTGACAAGGACTTGCATCCAGACTATAAGCTCTTTAAAAGGAAAGATCTTCACACACTTCACCTAGGAGTATCATGCTGTTTTGAAACTTAAGTGATATAATATTTATTGGTGATAGGTGGTTCTCAGATGCCAGGTCTAAGTGGAAGTATCAAGTACCAAGAGGAAGTATCAAGAGCAAAGTAGACAGTCAGATCTCTGGTCTTCAACAATCCAAGCAGGACGCCATGAAAAAGAATCTGCATCAGAAGAGAAGGAAACATGAGCGTATTTATGAGCCTAAATGAGACACATTCCAGTGGCTTTACAAAAATATATACCTGGACAGGATTTTACACATGATATGTAGAGGAAGCACAGCCAAGTAAAAGCATTATTATTTGTGCTCCCAAATTGGTGAACCTGGAGAAAGTCTTGGCATCCATATATAAATTTGCTATATAGAGAGATAAATACACACATATTTAATACACGTTAACAGGAAAGTAAAGCTCACGACATCAGTCATGCAAACAGTCAGTTTCTATGTGACGTTTTCTCATCAAGCTTTGTCTATGCCAGGAGACAGCTAAGACTTAAACTGAGATGTGCCTTGAATACATTTAAAATAAAAATCATATTATGTATTATCTATGCAGGCAGAAGTATGTGGCAGTTTTCCACTTGTATAAAAAAATATACTTATTCAACAAATATTTCCAGTGTTTGCCAGAACCTTCACCATTGGATAAACTATGAACAGCAAATATTTGTTGCCTTCAATTAGCTCATGGTCTTCTAGGGAAAGCAGACATGTAAACAGACAGGCATAAATTCAGGACAAAAGCAGATGTGCCTAAATTGGTAAAAGTACAGGCATTGATTCTGTGATAGTAGGTTGGGTGTGATTTGGAGGAGACGCTGACCCTGCTGAGGGCTGCCATGTTGGGAGCAGGGCAACAGAAGGGGGAGCTGAAGCATAAAGGCGCACGCCCGGAGGTAGACGTGTGTGCTAAGTCACTTCTGTTGTGTCTGACTCTGCGTGACTCTACGAACTGCAGCCTGCCAGGCTCCTCTATCCATGGTATTCCCAGGGACTGAGCCCACATCTCTTATGTCTTCTGCATTGGAGGTAGATTCCCTACCACGAGTACCAGCTGGGAAGCCCTGGAAGGTAGACAACTACAGGCACACCCCATGAGGATCCATTTCTGTCTAAATGTGTATTTTGAGATGAGATGGTCAGTAGTGTCTTTCTGGGTGTAGAGAAACCATTTGTTGTTCTTCAGTCAGTCAGTCATGACTGACTCTGTGTGACCCCATGGTCTGTAGCTCACCAGGCTCCTCTGTCCATGGGATTTCCCAGGGAAGAACACTGATAGGATAGCCACTTTCTTCTTTAGGGAATCTTCCTGACCCATGCACTGAACCCTCGTCTCCTGCTTTGCAGACAGATTCTTTGCCACTAAGCCATCAGTGAAGCGCCAAGAGAAACCATACACGTGTGCAAAGCTATTCAGCTTGCAGTTCAGTATATACAGAACCACCAAATAGCTGCCAACTAGAACTTTCCCCAAAAGGGTTATTTTATGGAGCCTTAGACAAAATAAACTTTAATGAACAGCTAGAGCATTAATTTTACATACTCTGTCTTGCTTTCTTTCTTTCACTGCTCCGCCATCTCTGTCATTCTTATCCCAGCCTCTTCTTTCTTAAATATTGGCCTTTTCAGCTTTCTTTTCTTCCCCCCAGAAAATTTCATTGGTTTCTGTCTTATCTGTGAGCTTAAATTGACGCCTACACCACTCCTACAGGGAAACATGATTTTATCTTTAAATCTTATTTCAATATTTTTAATGTCAATAAAGGTGATGCTGTCAAAGTGCTGCACTCAATATGCCAGCAAATTTAGAAAACTCAGCAGTGGCCACAGGACTGCAAAAGG